ACCTTCCTCCTTGGGCAGCAGAGCCAAGTGCAGATGCTCTGTGACTGGAGACAGCCCAGGCACCCAAAATCTCCATAGAGGAGCAGAGAGGAGCTGGTATCTTGCTGCAGGACTCCCAGATGGCCTGACAGTATAAAAAAGGAGGCCACAAGGGGACCAGGACCCAGTGCCCCTCTGGCCCAGCCATCCTGGGAGTGTCTGCTGTCCTCTTCTTCACAGGGTCCCACCGCCAGGTTCAGTTCTGCTTTTCCATGTATCACCAGACAGCGCAGCCTGTCAGGGGCCTTGGAGGACCAGGGGTCTCCTCAGAGTAGAATCACCATCAGAGACCCTGGAGCGGAGAGGTGGGGGGGATGTCTGGTATTTCCTGTTAGTGTGCAGGACGTTCCTTGTCCTGCAAACCCTAGAAGAACCTTGTATGTGCGGAGGGAGAGCAGAGCTGAGGTACACGTAGGGTCTGCACCAGCGGAGGCCAGGTGTTTCCATCTGAGCAGCCTCTCAGTCCAGACTGAGGCTCCAGGTGAGCTCTGCCTTCACTGGTGGGTCCCTTCCTGCCCCCTTGATGGGAAGTGTGGGGACTGTGGGGGTCTAAGGAGGAGACTAGTGACAAGAACAGCCCTGAGGTACTTTCCTGTGGCTGGATCCAGGCCAGAAGCAAGGTGAGCAGTCTCTGAGTCAGGAGCCCTGGTGGTCAGACAGATTGAAGGACTGACTGAAGATGGAAAAGGCTATCTCTCCATCGCCAATTGGCCAGGGCATTCTCCAAGGAAGGCCATTCAGATCCAAGTGGTAGCTGGGGTGTCTCAGTGTTGAGAGCAAAAACCACAAGAGGATCTCAGTATTTCCCACAAGGTGTCCCTGGGGTCCCCACCACACACACCCTTCATCTCTCCCTCTCATCTCACCCAAGTGCTCACAGTCATACCTAAGCTCTAGAGGGGGCCCGGTGCTGGGGTGGGTGAGTGAAATTCTTATGGAGCCCAGCAAGATGAGGCATTGGCACCAATGAGGGAAGCTGGAGAGGTCACAGTGAAGTCTCAGAGGTGATGTCACATGCTGCAGCCACTCTGGATATTTCCAAGCATTTGCACCTGGTCACGGAGATCTCAGGCAGGATGGGTTGGGAGGAAACGCCTTTCTTTGCTCACTTAGGGATAAAAAGCCCACAGTTTAAATGCTCCAGGGTGAGGCCAGGTCTTGGCTGAGGATCACTGGTAGAGGACCAGTCTCCCAATGTGGGACAGCTGAGGCAAAGCTGCCTAGAGCTGCAGAGCTACCCAGGTCTCCAAGATGGGATCAGGCTTGGAGCAGGACAAGATTGGAATCCTAGACCTTTGCTCACTGGTGAAGTCCTGGGCAAGGTCCTCAGCATCTGTGGGCCTCAGTTCCTCTACTGTAGAATGGGAATGACTATACTGCTGCCTCCCGGCTTTACACATAATTCATCTGTGTAAAGCACTTGGGGCTCATGAGCCCTTGGAGAGCAGTGGTAGGAATTGTTATCTTTATTCTTTAGTCAAGGCATGTAGGACAGTCATCCAAAGGAAAGAGAAGAGCTCAGGGATTGAAGGGACAAAGGGAAAAGATGCTAAGAATCCTCCCTCAGAGAAAGCACAGTGGGGCTATCCTCTGATGCCCGAACCAACATCATGGTAGATCCTGTGTCACCAAGGGGGTCTCCAGGAAGAAGGGACAAGAAAAAGCTGATGTCCTGTGGCAGGGCAGGACCCCAGGCTCCAATCTGGACCAATGGGTAGAGATGAGGTATGGGCGAGGGGAACAGAACCCTAGCCCCAGGCCACCCCACCACCAGGCCCCAGCAGCGTCTTCCCATTCATGGGGATTCCACAGCCAGCTTTAATGCTGCTTTTAATTTTTAAGCCAGACAGATGCCAAACGGAAAGAGGAAAGAGCCAAACTGCCAGGGAGGGATTTGCTCTTTTCCACTTGGATGGAGTCCTCGGGCACCTTCCTTTTCCATAGCACTTTTGCATCCATTTCTCATCAGGAGGTGGATCAAGTCTGTTCCCTTTCCAGTTACAGAGCAAATGGCGGTAATGCAGCCAGATTAAAAACCTGTTTCCTGGAGGCCAGGCACAGTGGTACATGCCTGTCATTCCAGTGACTGGGGAGCCTAAGGCAGGAGGATCACAAGTTCAAAGCCGGCCTCAGCAACTTAGCAAGGGCCTAGCAACTTAGTGAGACCCTGTCTCTAAATAAAACATTAAAAAAGGGGCTGGGGATGTGGCTCATGGTTAAGCACTCCTGGGTTCAATCCCTGGTACAAAAAAACAAAAACAAAAATGAAACCTGTTTACTGGAGAGTCTTTTCCCCAGGAAGGGAGGAAGAGGTTTGGGCATCTGTAATTAGGACAAGGCCAAGTTCTTTAGTAGTCAAGGCCACATGTTTAATAAAGAACTGTATTTTGGAGGCAGGGCTGTAGTTCAGTGGTAGAGCTCTTGTCTAGTGTATAGGAAGCCCTGGATTCAATCCTTAACACCGAACAATAAACAGAACTTAATTTTGTCAATACTTGAATAAGTTTATTGGTATAATCTTTTAAATAAATTTAGGCCACAGGCACCCACACACACACATACCAGGATACAAAAGGATTATACTGCCTAGATCCAGACTCAGCCTTTCATGAGTGCCTTCTGTGTGTTCTACACTTTGCTAAGTGCTGCAGGACATCATCTCTATTGTATTTCACTACAACAGCATCACCACTGCATTAATAATTGTTTTTGGGTATTCTATGCATTCTAATATTGCACCAAAGACATTTACTAATAATAATTTTAAGCAATATTAGCACCATTTTTTTAAAAGCTTCACATAGGACTGGGGTTGTGGCTCAGTGGTAGAATGTTTGCCTAGCACGTGTGAAGCACTGGGTTCAATCCTTAGCACCACAAAAAAACAAAATAAAGGCATTGTGTCCATCCATAACTAAATTTTGTTTTTTTAAAGAGCTTCACATTGGAAGGCTAGGGATGTAGCTCAGTCAGTAGAGTGCTTGCCTTGCATGCACAAGGCCTTGGTTCAATCCCCAGCACCACACACACACACAAAAAAGCTTCACATGGGGGTGGGGGGTTGTGGCTCATCGGTAGAGTGCTCGCCTAGCACACTCGAGGCCCTAGGTTTAGTCCTCAGCACCACATAAAAATAAATTAAAATAAAGGTATTTTTAAAAAAGTTTCACATATTGGTCACACATTTTTTTTGTTTTTGAAAAAAAAAATTGGCACAAAATCTGTACATGGGGTTACCTATATGCAGTGAACTACAGGTAACCCTCCAGAAGAC